CCGGCTGATGGTGCGGGGAACCGATCCCCTTCCGGACATAAATGAGACTTTTGAGCTATAACTGCCGTGGCTTGGGAAACACACGAGCAGTTAGATCCCTGAAGTCGCTATTGCGACAAGTTTCCCCCCAAGTTGTCTTCCTGACAGAAACGAAACAACTTCGGGAAGAAAATGAGACAACACGTATGGAGCTTGGATATAAATATGGAACGAGCTGGCCCTGTGACACGTCGAGGGGCGGAAGAGCTGGGGTATCTCTATGTGGTGGCTGGAGGATACTATGGTTACAGTAATGAAGGAAGACCCAAACTATCTTGATTTGAAGATAGAGGAGAAAGAAGGTGAGGTTTGGCGATTTACCGGCATATACGGGTGGTCAGAGAGTAACAATAAGTATCGAACAATGGAACTCATTCGTGAGTTGGCGATGATGTGGGATGGACCTTGGATCTGCGCGCGGGGGGGGGGGGGGGGGGGGGGGGGGGGGGGGGATTTCAACCTAATTATGACGGATGAGGAGAAGAAGGGTGGTAACCCAGGAAGAAAAGTGGAGATGAGGGCGTTTTCGGACTGTCTTAATGACTTGACACCGGCTTACAGGACCTCGGTTATCGGGGCTATCCGTTTACGTGGGAAAACAGAAGGCGGGTAGGAGAGTATATAGAAGAAAGAATTGATAGATTCCTAGCGAATGAAGGTTGGAGAACAATGCGGCCACAGGTGAGAGTGTCCCATCTTGACTTACTGAGGTCTGATCATCGGCCAATTATATGTGATACTTTGGGCGAGGAGGACGCGGAAATCAAGTGGGGTTGGTCGTTCCGTTTTGAGCCACTATGGAGTAAGCATGAGGACTGTGAGATGAAAGTGAAGGAGGCATGGGAGTCGGCGCCGGGCAATGCAGTGATGAAGATGCGCCAGGTTCAGTCCAATCTGGACCAGTGGAGCCGAGCAACCTTTCCTAACTTTCGGTGGCGTAAATAGAAGATTAAGAGAGCATTACGAGCTGTAGAGAAGTATCCAAGAACTGAACAGGTTTTGGATCAGCGGCGAGCCTTGCAGATGGAGCTTGAGGAATTGGAATGTGATGAAGAATTATTTTGGCAACAACGATCACGTACGGATTGACTCCGTGAGGGTGACAAGAACACAAATTTTTTCCACCTCAAGGCTTCATCGAGGCGCCGTAGAAATACTATTCGTAAAATAAAGGATGAGACTGGTGCGTGGTGGCAAGGAACGGAGGAGGCGCTGCAGTGTCTTACTAACTACTTTGTTTCTTTGTTTACTGCAGGAGAACGACCAGATGTTACTCCCGTCCTTGACTCTGTACCATTGAGGGTCACGGCGAAAATGAATGTTGGGCTGTTGAAGCCTTTGACGAGGGAAGAACTTTATGAGGCTCTCCGGCAGATGGGGAAGAGGAAAGCGTCGGGAGCTGATGGTATGTCAGTACTTTTCTTTATTAAGTACTGGCATATTTTAGGCGATGATGTGACGCATATGCTACTGAATGTGGTGGAGACTGGAACTATGCCGGAGGATTTGAACCTCACTTTACTGGCTTTGATCCCGAAGGTGAAGGAGCCAACTATGGCAAAGGAGTTCCGACCTATTAGTCTCTGTAATGTGATGTATAAAATGCTTTCAAAGGCAGTTGCAAACCGCTTGAAAGTGATTTTGGACAGGATCATCTCCCCAGAACAGAGTGCGTTTGTGCCGGGTCGGTTTATTGCTGACAATGTGATGACAGCTTTCAAGTGCTTTCACACAATGAAAAAGAAGACAAAGAATAAGAAGGGGTACTTGGCAGCAAAGACAGACATGGCCAAGGCGTACGATAGAGTAGAATGGTGGTTTCTGGAAGATGTAATGGAAAGACTTGGTTTTGCAGCGGGATGGATCAAGTTGATTATGCTATGTGTTAAGTCGGATTGTATCACATCTCTTCTTCGCTGATGATTCTATCTTTTTTGCTAGAGCAATAGAGAAGGAAAGTTGGGAGTTAAGAAGAGTACTTGAAGATTACCAAAAGGAATCAGGTCAGTTAGTCAGCTTGGAGAAATCCGAGGTGTCTTTTGGCAAGAATGTGAAGTTGCATCAGCGTCTGATTGCTAGTGCCACGTTGGGGATGAAGGTGGTAGAAAAATACAATAAATATTTGGGCCTTGTGACGGAGGTTGGCCGGTCAAAGAAGGAACTCTTTGTTTATCTGAAGGATCGGGTACGAAAGAAGCTAACAGGATGGAAAGAGAGACTAATGTCGGCGGCAGCAAGGGAAGTTCTGATAAAGTCGGTTGCACAGGCACAATTGACATATACCATGTCTGTTTTCAAAGTCCCGACGGTATTCTAGATGATATTCACAGTATTATAACCCAATTTTGGTGGGGGCAGCGAGGTGAGGAAAGAAAAACCCCCTGGGTGGCGCAGGAGGCGTTGATATGTACGAAAGAGCAGGGGGCATGGGTTTTCGGGACCTTCGTGGCTTCAATCAAGCGTTGCTTGCAAGACAGTTGTGGCATTTGCATCAACGCCCTGAGTCCTTGGTAGCTCGTATCATGAAAGCTAAGTATCATAAGAATACATCGTTCTTGGAAGCTCGAATGGGATACATGCCAAGCTATGTATGGCGTAGTCTTATGAGTGCTCAGGAATTCCTGGTATCGGGCCTAAGGTGGAGAATAGGGAATGGTGCATCAGTTCGTATTTGGGGTGATCGATGGATTCCTTCGACACCGGACTACATAGTCCACTCGGCCCCAATGGGGCTTCCAGTAGATTCGGTGGTGAGAGAGCTAATCAAAGAAGATGAAGAGGAGTGGGATGAGACACTCCTTGAGGCCTGCTTTCCAACGGATATGGTTACGGCCATCCGGCAAATCCCATTACGTCAGGCGGAGGAGGTGGACTGTTTGGTTTGGGCGGGTAGCAAAGATGGCAAGTACACAGCTCGAGAAGGGTATAAGGCATGGCTAAAATCTCACCAAGATCAGCATGGGGACCGTAGCGTTGGCGACCCAGCTCTATGGAAAAAGATTTGGTCACTTAAGATCCCACCAAAAATTAGAATATTCATGTGGAAGTTCACCAGAGAAGCCCTTGCTACGGGCGAAAGAGTCCACCATCGGGACACTAGAAAGAGTGGAGTCTGCCCATTTTATGATCAGTTTGAGACCCAAATGCATGCTTTCTGGGAATGTTCGTGGGTGAGTAGGTTGTGGAGATCGTCGCCTGTCGCGCACTGCTTTGAGCTGCGAGCTGATCTTGATTGCATGGAGTGGGTAAGGAAGGTTATTGCGTCGGTACCCGAGCATGAACTGGAGGACTGGATCGTACTGTTGTGGTTCTTATGGCGGGAAAGAAACGCCCACATGTTTAATGGGCAGCGCATGGAGGAGGCTGATATCGTCTCCAGGGCGATTACATATATGGAAGAGTATCGCCAGCAGCAGCAGATGCAGGATGGAACAAATATTCAACCAAGTCGACAGGTGTGGCGGAGGCTGGGGCCAGGGCAAGTGAAGCTGAATACAGATGCGGGTTTGGACGGAGAAGGTTTGGGAATGGGAGTAGTGGCACGTGATCATAATGGCAACTTTATAATGGCTGCGGTGAAGCGAAAGAAAGGGCTCTATGACCCGACTATGGGAGAGGCTTTGGCGGTTGAATTCAGACTTCAGTTGGCCCGACAACACCAGCTTGCTTCGCCAATAGTGGAGACCGACTGTTTAACAGTAGTGAAGAACTTGGAAGCAGCCGAGGAGATTAGCACTGAGGTGGGGACTGTTCTACGAAGCATTAAGAGGTTAGTAGCGGAGATCGGTGGCGGCTGGGTTCAATACGTGAGTAGGAAAGCGAATGAGGCAGCACATATTATGACACACACAAGAGCTAGATGGGAGATAGCGGATGTTTGGTTTGATAGACCACCGCTGAATGTGTTAGATCAGCTTATTTCAGACAATGTACTTTCGGTTGCATCTGAATAAAAGCTGAATGACAGGTTCTGATAAAAAAAAAGTGACAAAAACAATTCAACCCATTTTTTTCTTCTTTCCCTCCATATATATTATGGATATTTCCTTCCCCAAACCCACCATTTTTGCCTGCAACCATTGTGAATGACAAGATTGTCAACCCGTTTAGTCTGTTGGTCCGGTTGAGAAAGTGGGCGGAGGGTTAATGAGTCAACCGCTTTAATCCGGTTTAACCCGGATATATGGTAAAAGTTATTACATTGTTCATATATTTATAAATTATATAAAATCTCATCTAACATATAAGAAATAACATATAACACCACACTAAAATGGCATGTCGTACTTGGATCCAACATATAGTGAAAATTCACACTCTTATATGACATTAATGTTCAAATGTTCAACTTATAATTTCAAAGATTGAGTTAGAAAAAAGAAAAACCGTAAAATAGACGTATTTCACAAACCAAAGCAAAAACGACGTCGTTTGGCCGTCAAACTAATATTCTAAAGAAAGTTGACTCGATGAGAGTATACTGCTCATTTTTGTTACCGAGTCAAGATCAAAGCGGGTTGATTCCGAATTCATCTTAATTCTTAAGTGAAAATAAAAACCTTACAAAATTCAAGCACAGACAGGGAGAAATAAAAGAATGAAAAACAGAATTCAAAACGCAACAAACAGTGAGAGAGTGGGGGAGAGATAGAGAGGGAGCGAGCGAGCGAGCGGAAGCGCTATCATTTGTGATTTCCTTTCGGTTCTTCATCGCCTGCTTCTCTGATACTTTTCCCTTTCGAATTCAAATCCTGGTTTGAATCTTTCAAAATTGGCAGCCATTTCCTCATCCGCCAGATCTTCCTCTCGGCCTGACTAGGGTTTTTGAGGATTCAATCTTCCCGCGGATCGGGGGTTCCCAGATCTGGTCGCCTGTTTGTTTCCCCCTTCCCCTACTAGATCTTCCCCAATCTCTGATCGTATCCGCGGAAACCGTGCATTTCAATTCTAAAGATTAAGACATGGACGCGATCGAGGAGCTCTCTCAGCTGTCCGACTCCATGCGGCAAGCGGCGGCGTTGCTCGCTGACGAGGACGTTGACGAGGCCGCCAGCACGTCCTCTAGACGCGCATCCACTTTCCTCAACGTTGTTGCCCTGGGAAATGTTGTGAGTCGTCCTCTTCTTCTCCTCTCTTCGTATTAATTTCTGTCTCTGGAGCTAGGTGAAGAATTGACTGGACATGTTGGTCCGTTTGTTTCCTTGTTTATCTGAACTTGGTACCCGGGTTCAGTTTGCTCTCAACTGCGCGACTGGGAGTTATCTCTTGGATTGTTTGAGATGTTTAGGGAGAGGCAGATCTTTGTATCTAACGAGCTAGCTTTTTTTATTAAACTTATGGTGAAATATCCGACTAGCTGCTGATGCTGCTTCTGCATTGCACTCTAAATTCTTGACCAGATTGTGTCAAATCCAGTCATGGCTTGGTTTTGCGTTAGAGTTAGGAGCCATTTTGATTCAATTCTATCCACCTTCGTATTTTAATGCTGTGAAACAGTTCGATAGTAGATCCCATGCTAACTAGCTGGCCTGAACTTCGGTTTCATTGCTGTCTTTGAATTTGTGTTTTCATTGTTTACTTCTTACTCACAATGCTTTTTATTTTATTTATTTCTGTTTCTGTCATCTGTTAGGGTGCTGGTAAATCCGCTGTCTTGAACAGTTTAATTGGACATCCAGTTCTGGTGAGTTGCTCGTCCTACATATTTCTCTGTCTTTGAATAGAACTAGTGAATGCTAAGTCATCTGTCCCTCTTTTGAAACTTCTCTTGTCATTCCCCAGCCAACTGGTGAAAATGGTGCAACTCGATCTCCTATAAGCATCGATTTACAGAAGGATGGTTCCTTGAGCAGCAAGTCAATTATTCTGCAAATTGACAATAAGTCTCAACAAGTTTCTGCAAGTTAGTACCTACTTCCTGCTGTTGGTTGTATCATTACCCTTGATGTTAGTTTCTCTTCTATCTACTTGATTTATGCTATGGTGAAGGGCCACAGCTTAATACCTTGAATTTCCTGTTTTTATGAACTGCCTGTTTTTAAGTTTCTTCATTTATGATGCTTCCCTGCTTGAGTCCTGCTTTTTATTTCTTTTGCATCATGGCCAACATTTAACTACATATGAGAAACAAACTTGCGATAGAATGTCACTTGTGCTTTCTTCTGATTGATATTTTGCTTTAGGTGCTTTACGGCACTCCTTGCAGGACCGCCTGAGTAAGAGTGCGTCCGGGAAGAACCGAGATGAAATTTATCTAAAACTACGCACAAGCACAGGTTAGTGTATCTTGGGGTTCAGAGGATGAGATTTCTGTTCTCGTACTTGGTTATTTGGTTCTGGACTACATTTTGTCTGTGTAATGGTCTGTTGCTGCCTTAGATAGTTTGAGCCTTTGGGGTATCTTGGATATCAGTCTGACACTTTTCCATGCGAGCTACTTTCATATTACATCCAAATAGAATCTTCATGAAACTCAACACACTTTAAAAATCTGCCGTCACACTACAGAGGCTAAGTTCTTACTTGATTAATGGTTCAGTACTGCATATCAACTCTTGATTTGCAATTGCACATGCCTTTTATTTTTCACTCACCAGAGTTTTGCTTAAAATTTCATAATGGATTCTTGTCCAAAGAAATATTTGTTTTCGGTGTTTGCAATTTGTGGTGAAATATTTTGAGCAAAGCCACCTGACATGCTATGGATTGTTTCTTTCTTTTGGCTTACATTTGTTTTATCGTCATCTTTGTGCAGCTCCTCCCTTGAAACTAATTGATTTACCTGGGTTAGATCAACGGATCATGGACGATTCGATGGTACTTTCTGATGAACTTCTGCCATGACTCTAACTGATCTTTGATTTTATTGTTAGTTTCTCATTAGTTCCTTGACTGATTTACATTCTGTATATCTTTTGTTTGTTATCTCTGCTTTTTTTTTTATTTGTTGGTATTCCTCATGACACGTCACTTAACTTGATATTGTCAAAATTTTCGCCTTTTCTTAGGTTAGTGATTATGCTGAGCGCAACGATGCGATATTGCTGGTTGTTGTTCCTGCTGCCCAAGCACCTGAAATATCTTCGTCTCGGGCTCTCAGGGTTGCTAAGGAGTGTGATGGAGAAAGTAATGGCCTACGCTTGTTTGTTTGTATTTTTTTCTAGTGTTTGAGTTTGAGATTGCAATGACTCATTGGTGAGTGCTTTTTCTGTTTAGATATATGACTGTCTTGACATGTTTTGTTTGGCAGGCACCAGAACCATTGGTGTGATTAGTAAAATCGATCAAGCTGCTTCTGACCAGAAAGCCCTTGCAGCGGTTCAAGCTCTTTTGCTAAATCAAGGGCCGCCTAAAACTGCTGACATCCAGTGGGTTGCCTTAATTGGTCAATCTGTTTCTATTGCTTCTGCACAGTCTGGGTCTGAGAACTCATTGGAGACTGCATGGAAGGCAGAGAGTGAGAGTCTGAAATCCATACTGACTGGAGCGCCCCAGAGTAAGCTGGGTAGAGTAGCTTTGGTGGATGCTCTGGCACAGCAGATCCGTAGACGTATGAAAGTTCGGATCCCTAACCTCCTATCAGGGTATTGATCATACCTTGACGTTGTTGATGTTGTTTATCCTGTTTAGATTTTCTGGGCTAGCAACATTCTGTTTAATTAATCTACTGAATTTAAGCAATTTAGCTGATTATTCTTTTACTTGCTAGTTCTAGTTTTGTTATGAATCTGTTAGGGAAAGTTTAGGAATTCATGCTCGAGAAGTATACTTTCCTGTGATGATGGGCTTTGCTAGTCCAACTGTTTCCACTAAGATGCCATAATCCCACTGTTTGCTGGTCTAGTTAGGTTTTAAGGAACAACTTATTTGTCAGATGAAATCACTTCTTGATGTTCTCAGTTTTTGTTTCGGTCCAGTTTACAAGGGAAATCCCAAATAGTTCAAGATGAGCTAGTAAGGCTTGGGGAGCAGATGGTCTCAAGTTCTGAGGGTACAAAAGCATTGGCCTTGGAACTTTGCCGTGAATTTGAGGATAAATTTCTCCAACATGTTACTACTGGTGAGGTATGTATCTAGGCCTGCATATTGTCATGGTATAAGCTTGTATTAGATGTATCATTTTCTTCAGCATCATGGGACTCACTTAGATACAAAATGTTAAGAACGGGGAATTAAGTTGGGTGCTATTCATGCGCCAGTTTTTGAACTATCTGTTGCATATACAGAATAATGTCTGAGAATTGTTGGAATCAAATGTGTCTCTGATTAATAGAGTGACTTTGCAAATGATTGTCATACTGTCTGCAACTTGTGTGAACAAAAAGCAACAAATATAGTTTGCCAATAGAATGTCACCACTTGTTTAGAAAATGTGGTTGGGTTCAGTTACTTTGATTCATCCTGCAATTCTGTTACTGTTGTGTTGGTAATGTTGTGTGGATGCGTAGAAGAATGATCATTTTTTTCTTCTGTAGGGTTCAGGCTGGAAGATTGTTGCCAGCTTTGAGGGTAATTTTCCAAATAGGATGAAACAGCTCCCTCTAGAAAGACATTTTGACATCAATAATGTTAAGCGGGTAAAATTTCTCGTCATTTTCATAGCATCTCTTACTTTTGGCTGTATTTTACTCTAGCCTTATGGACTTCTTCATGATCCTTTGTGTCTCTGTGTTATCTATCAGATTGTGTTGGAAGCAGATGGGTATCAGCCATATCTGATATCACCAGAAAAAGGGTTGAGATCACTAATAAAAGGTGTCCTGGAACTTGCTAAAGAACCAGCACGCCTTTGTGTTGATGAGGTGTGGAGATTTATTAGTTTCATAGGAATTTGTCTAAAATTATCCCATTATAACTTTACCTATTGGAAACAGGTGCACCGTGTCCTGGTTGATATAGTCTCTGCATCCGCAAATTCTACTCCGGGTTTGGGGAGATATCCTCCTTTCAAAAGAGAGGTAAGATGATGGCCTTACCATTTACCTATTAATCAGTCATGACTTTGTATGAATTTTGTTTGATTATGAAGTCTCTAATTGCTTCCTTAACCTTGTCCCAGGTTATTGCCATTGCAACTAATGCATTAGAAGGGTTCAAAGGTGAAGCAAAGAAGATGGTTGTCGCACTAGTTGATATGGAACGAGCATTTGTGCCTCCACAGCACTTCATCCGTTTGGTGCAAAGGAGGTAAATTAAGCAAGTTTGCAAGTAAAATGCTCTAAAAAAAGGTTAAACAACTTTAATTGGTTGCTTATATGCACCATCTTTTAGAAAACTACCCCATCTGTGGTTGCACGTGATTTTTCAAAAGCCAGATTTTGTCTTGTTCTCAGCTTTGTATATGGACATCTTTTAAGTATATTTCTCTACGGCGTGATTCTGATTATCTTTGCTTGACCTGCTTTCTTGCTAACTCTAACATTCCTGATTGACTTTAGAATGGAGAGACAACGACGAGAGGATGAGCTTAAGAACAGGTCATCCAGGAAGGGACATGATGCAGAGCAATCAATACTGAACAGGGTAGGACATAGCTTGAGTATTGCAAATTTGATCATAGGTTGTTGCTTTGGCTTGTTGGTTCTTTATTCAGTTTATTCAATTTTGTATGACTAGGCAACTAGTCCCCAGACAGATGGTCAAGGAGGGAGCTTGAAATCACTGAAAGATAAATCAAGTCAGTTAGAAAAAGAAGGAGAGGGTTCTCTGAAAGTTGCTGGAGCCGAAGGAGAAATAACAGCAGGTTAATAATTCATTTGTGATCTTTTTATCCTAAATTATAAATATGATATATTTGCGTTCTTGATGGATTTTTTCTTAATATTCAACTTCTGCATATTGACGATTCATATGCCACTTGGTTTTTTGTGAATGATTCAACCTAGGCTGTGTCCTGGGGTTCTATGGCCTCACTTTTTCTAGTTCATGAATCATGATCTAGATCCATTGGAATGTGGATCTGTACATGTCTCTGAGATTCGTGAATTTGGTGCCTAGCAGGAGGCATTCTCCCTACTTATGGTCTTTTATTCTTTCTTCATTCAGTTCTTGGAGAATATTACATTTGAAAGTTGTCTTAGTAGTTTCAAACTGTTTTTTTTTTTTTTTTTTTTTTGCAATTCCTTTAAGCTTATTTGCCACTTCCGGAGTCTTGTTCAGTGAACTTGTTAATGTGGGTGGTAATGCAGTTCCAATTTTTTTATTGTCCTTGAGCATATAGTGCTGATACTGTTTCTCAATTCTCTTTTATCTGCAGGTTTTCTATTAAAAAGGAGTGTTAAAAAGTCTGATGGGTGGACCAAGCGGTGGTTTGTTTTGAATGAGAAGACTGGGAAGGTTTGTTTCCATTAGCATTCCGTCCTTTTTTTGCTGTTTTTCTCTGGGAGTATAAGTCTCAGTGTCTCACTAAGTGTAAGCTTGCTGAGCCTTGATGAAATCAAATGCTAAGAGACATATAAGACAGTGTGTCCTATTCTTCTATACATGATTGAGAGTTAGTAAATTTAATTCTATTGTTTTGTTTCACAGCTTGGTTACACCAAGAAGCAGGAAGAGAGACACTTTCGTGGTGTGATCACCTTAGAGGTATTAAAACTCTTGCTATTCTCTCATGCTTTTGAATGACTTTACTCTCATCTATGTATCATTTCTTGCAATATTATCACTTTTTATCCGTGGTTGAATTTGTTGGGAAACCAAACACATTGCAAAGCTATTATTAAGCAACATGGCAATGAATATACTTTTCCGCACATATAAATGTGACTGTGCTATTTCCTTTGTCCTCATTATAGGCCTTAAAGCTGGCTTTATGGGATCACTTATGAACTTCTAGGTCTAGTACATGTTTAAAATAGTTGGCATTTTTTGGATGGCAGTATATGTAATATTTATTCTATGTTTTGCCATGAATAATGACAGGTGTGTAGGAGTTTTAGTGTACTAAGATGTATATCTTAAGACTGGCACCAGTTAACCAGTCATGATTTGCTGAGATTGCCATGAGTACATGGTTGTGAGAAGGCCTTGTTTCTTTATTGGAGATGGTATTACTTTGTCGTGATTCACTGATAGTCATCCTTTCACTATTTCAGGAGTGCAATGTTGAAGATATTGTAGAGGATGAAGAACCCCCGGCAAAAGATAAAAAGGATAAGAAGGATAAGAAAGCCAATGGACCAGATTCCAAGGGGTACAATCTCGTTTTCAAAATTAGCAGCAAGGTTCCCTACAAAACAGTGGTGAAAAGTATGTGTTTTTTTCAAGTTCCTTCCTTCCTGGAATTGCTCAGGTTACTTGTGTTCTGATTAGTAGGTGCCACTACACTTCCCATCCTTAAGTCTTCTATATCTCCCTGCAGCCCATGGTACACTTATTTTGAAGGCTGAGAGTGCCGCTGATAAGGCGCAGTGGCTCAGCAAAATATCGAAAATTGCTCAAATTTCAAGACCACAGCCTAGGGGTGCTTCCCCGGAAGGTGGTCCCACTATGCGCCAGAGTCTCTCTGATGGTTCTCTCGTATGTTCTTTAGTGTTCTCCCATCTTTCTTTTGCATGTCTTGCACATATTTTTCATCGCGAGGAGTCTATCTAATAGGTGCATTTCATTCATTCATTCATTTTATTTGGGACATTTTCCAGATAGTTAACTAGAGGTGGAACCTTTGTTCTTTTAGGAGTTCTTAAAACTGAATGTTTTTTTTCCAGGATTCAATGGTTCGAAGGCCTGCAGATCCTGAAGAGGAGCTTCGATGGATGTCCCAAGAAGTACGGGGTTATGTCGAAGCAGTTTTGAATAGCTTGGCTGCTAATGTTCCCAAAGTGAGCTCCCTTCCCCAATAGTGTTCACTTTATTTCGATGAGGACATCGAACTATGTGGTAATATTTTACTACTATTTTGATGAGCAGGCAGTAGTGCTTTGCCAAGTGGAAAAATCCAAAGAAGATATGTTGAACCAGCTCTACAGCTCTGTCAGGTTTGACTGATTCTCCTTAGTTAACTTCCTCATCATCCATTGTGCTTTCCCTAGTCGGCCTGATCAATTTTCCGGAACGTGTAGTTCTCAAAGCGCTGGAAGGATTGAGGAGTTGCTTCAAGAGGACCACAATGTAAAGCATAGGAGAGAGCGGTACCAGAAGCAGTCATCGCTGCTGTCTAAATTAACACGTCAGCTCAGCATTCACGACAACCGGGCTGCAGCTGCTGCTGTTTCCACCATGCCGAACGGCAGTGCAGGTACAATCTAAATTTTGCCCCCCTCGAGAGAACCCAGCTTCTTTTCAATGCAACCTCGGTCTGGTGCTAAATTTCGTTTGTTTCTCCATTCGCTCCATTGCAGAGAGCAGCCCTCGGACAAATGGTCCACCTGTAGGTGACGACTGGAGATCCGCATTCGATGCTGCCGCCAATGGCTCGGTGGATTACGGCCGATCTTCATCAAACGGTCGCAGCAGACACTCGTCGCAGAATGGAGATGTGAATGCGAGCGGCCGCCGCACTCCGAACCGGTTGCCACCTGCGCCACCGGGTTCCTCTGGGTATAGATTTTAAGGCGAGGAGTAAGGAGGTTTCGATTCAATTTATATCATCCGCCCTATATCATATGATGTTAAGAGGGTCCTGTATTTTTTAGTGGGAGGGCAAAGATAATTTGCGCATTATTTTGGCCCAGAAACGTTCCCGACGAGTCTTTGCGGATTGGCATTAGAAAGATTAGAGTCTTGAGAACTCTATATAGGGTGGTTTTGTCACTTTGTGTACATAACGAACACAGTTGATCATATATCAGGCTTCGCTCTTTTTATTTGCCATTTTTGGTTTTTTCTTTTTCTATACTTTGACTGGCTGAGTGACCCAATAAACATTGGACTGATATCTCTTTCCAGATTACACTTTGATTTTGTTGGGCTTTACTTTCCCTTTTCGCTGATTCTGTTTTCCCTTCTTCATGGGTCCCGTTCGTTTTTATTTATCCCCGTTTCCATCCCATGATCGTAGGTACATGATCGTTCCCGACTCAATCAACATGGGAAATCTCCGCATTGACTTAATTTGGGGCGAGTATGGGTAAAACCTGCAAAAGTTTGATGAGTATAAGGCGGGCATGGTTTTAGCCTTCCCCGATCTACCGAGAATATTTTATCACGTATAAAAAATAGGATAAATACAATTTAATATACAAACCTTTCATTTTAAACAATATAATAGCTACATAATATGATACCAACTTGAAACCTATCAATATATGTTTCAATTGAAAATTGAAAATTGGATATTAAATTGTATTTACCCTAAAAAATATATGGATCAAATTGAAACCTATTAATGATAGTGAAGGTAACTTAAGACAATATATGGGTAAAATGCAATTGAGTAGCCACCCAAATTCAAATCTAATTATTTTACCCCAATTCTCCCTTCATTCTTTCACGTTTTCCTCTTGTTAACAAGATAATTATGTTCGTTAAGTATTACTTAGTAGATGTATCAGAGTTAGAAACTAATGATTTGAAAAATATTATACTTTATCTTATTGATTAATAGATGTTTTAGGATCATAAGATTTGAACCATATTAAGAATTATTGTATCTTTGTTGACTTAATGATATAGTAGGGTTGTTTAACATTATAATTGAAAATTTACATGTAAAGTCTAAGGTATAATGATGTTGGATGTATGGGACGGGTATTATCCATAGATTTAATCCATATAATTGTTAAATTATATATCTCGCCCGATATGAAGTTTAACAAACTGAGTATGTGAGTAAATATATATTATTTTTTATTTTAAAAAGAGATTTTCAATACTGTTAAATAACATGATTTGGACTAGTTAAAATTTATTAACTACATAATATGATACCAACAAAGTATAATATGAGAGTAGTTAATATTGAGCATTTGATTATTATTATTTTTTTCATCATGACATCAATCACATGTATCATAAATGACATTCAAAATGAAATACTAAATATGACTCAAGATTTTGCGTAACAAGTCTAGCTCGAACTCGACTTAACTCGTCTCGTTAATAAATGGCTCGAGCTCTAGCTCAGTTCGTTTATTAACGAGCCAAGCTCAAACTGGAGTAAAGCTCGGTTCGACTCGACTCATTTGCAGCCCTATGTGTGACCATTTATGAGCAACAAAATTGATTATCATTTAGGATAAAATCATATGAGCAGTGGGTTAATAGTAAAAAATATAATGACAAAATAAGATTATAATTGCATTAAGTTTGGTTTACTCCGATCAAAATATAAATTCGCTCTATAAAATTTATGAGCATAAGGACCTGATTGCATTGTTTTCGGTACGATATGATCTGGTGTAAATGTCTCTTTGGTCCGTTGCCGGCTAACCGAAGCTTTCCTTCGGTCGGTTGGCGGTAGTCGCATGCCCTGTCTCGGTTAACTGGTAACCGACATTTCGGTTATCGGTTATAACCGATAGGAAAAATCTTATACTTCAACATCCTCCATAGTGCTACACTACCTCCCTAGGTTGCACATTACTATAGAGAAGTCGATTCAAAGCATACTGAGCAGACAATTTGCAAGGAAACACGTACTTGGAGCCATCAAATTGAAAATTTTGGACTGTGGACTAGGCTCCAAGCACACAAACAGCCAAACATTCACCCGCATACATAATCGAACACCCCCCACACTTAAGCACGACATTGTCCTCAATGGAGGAAAGATAAGGAGGGTAGAACGAAGTTACCAGATCAAGGGTGAATGATGATGGACGGGTCAGGCGGTGCATTCTAGGAAGAGAGAGTAATCAGAACGCAAACACCACACAAAATCTCACAAATGTTGAGTTATTGACTCTAAAATCAAATAACAAAACTGACTCAACCGAGGAGAAATAGAGAAAGAAATGCAAACCGACTGGTTGGGTTGCCTCCCAACAAGCGCTTCTTTCACGTCGTGAGCCAGACGATGGCTCCTAAGTTTCGGTCCATGCTAGAACCTCCTTGAAGTTGAGGTTCTGGTCAATGAGGTGGAGTCGCAAGTCACGAGCATGTGGTATGACTGGTGATGGAAGCTCGTGCACTTGATGCAGATGAAGTCTCCACCCTCGAGACCTCTTCTTCTCTTCTCTTCTCTCATCTCATTGCCCCAAACCATATATGACAACATCGATTGACCACCATCGCGTCCACCAAGAGGGACCGATGTCGATGTGGCCTTGGTCTGGCAAAGAGACACTGCAAATGGGTCCTTGCTAAGTAGTTCCTCGAAGTTTGGTGGGTATATTACTTGTATTATAGGGCCGGTGCAAGCCTCTTCCACCTCAACTTCATCCTCAGCCTGGACACCACTCGCTTCTTCAACCCCCCCTTCCTTCTTCAAAATGTGGTCTCTCTCCTCGGAAAAGATTAAGAACTACCTCTTCTTTTCTTTCTTCCTCATCCTCCACAACTTCTTTCCTCACCCTTTCTCTTTCTTCTTCTTCCATAACTGATTGGAGAGCAAGTCGCCATGCAAGGTTCTCATTAAGTTCAGCTTGCATCTCCTCGCTCGGGCCCAACATGTCAGAGCGGAAATGGGGAAAGTTGTGATCTACCACTAGAGGATAAACTTGATCATGATTATCATGGGAGTTTTCCTTGACAACTTCTGTATGCTCCTCAACATCCTCACGATTGCCTTCTTCTTCCTCCACCTCTACTTGTATGGCAGCATAAAGGTTGTCTTGAGAAAACTGTGAACAGGCTTTCTCAATGACCTCTATGTGCTTCTTTATGCTCCGAAGGGTATCCTCTGTTTCACGGGGAAAGGAGAAGTCAGTTTGGGCAATGGCCTGGATATGAGGATCCATCTCGGGAAAGGATCTCTCAGGTACTCGAGCAATCTGCTCCACAAGAAGCCTCAAGTGATAGTTTGGATCTGGTTGTGGAGTGTAGCATGGCTCTGCCGGATCGCCCGTGAAGGCTGTGGCGAACTCTAGATCTGATGGCCCTTCTTGTTGTGGGAGGAATTCTTCTTGATAAAGAGATTGTTCTTGAAATACCCAGGTGTCTGATTGTTCTTCGTAGTAGGGGGGTTGGTACTGAAACCCGACTCCATAGTCTTCTCCTCCTTGGTTACTCCAGGAATTCTCGGGGTAATACCACTCGGATGGTGGTGGATACCCCCAATGATTGGAGAAGCCATGAGGGTCCATGATTCTGATCTGCACCAACAAAAACAAAAAAACACCCAAGTGAAAAGCAAGGGCGGAAAACAAAAGAAAACTGCTAAAGTAACAAACTTCTGACTTTCCTAATAATCTAGAAAGTCCCCGGCAACGGCGCCAAAAACTTGACACGCTAAAACACAACACCTAACAATGGCCAAGTGTAACCAATGAAAGGGACTGCAGTATAGTGGCACAAGTAATAAATATCGAATCCACGGGTCTCTAGAGTTACTATTACTCAGCTTCAGTTCATTATCTAGCAAACTAGATTAAGGATTGATTTATAAACTACTCTACTGAATACTCTACTAATTACAAGTTGTGAACTCACTTAGGTATGATTCCCCCTAGCTCCTCAATTAGGTCCAAGTTGCAATTACCTTTGGTTGATCTACTGTTGATTAAACTGCGGAAGATCCAACAGTAACTTGGAATCTCTTAAGCTGACCAAGCCCTCTCAGTCCAACTACCCGGCAGGCGACTAACCTTCACCGGGATAGAAAGCTGGGGCTATGAACACAGAACTCCACTACCGGAATTGGATTCCAGTACAAAACAGTAGATTGACTAACTCTCGTATAACCAATTCACCACCATCAATCAAGGAAGCTCTCTTAACCTAATCAGATTCTATCTATCATAGGTTAAAGCAGAAATCAAGAGAATTTGATCAAGATTCAATTGACTCAATAAATCATGCCTCAATCGATTATAATCAAACAATATAGCATCCAAAACTTCATACAAGAAAGATCCTAACACATGGAACTAGGGTTCCTCAAAACCTAAGTGAAGGGAAGTTACTCCATAGAGAAGAGAGAGACTGCAGAAATCTGATCTAGATCTTCAATCTCCATCTCCAAGCTTGATTCCCGAGCTCCAATGGCGAAGAAATCCTCCAAAATAGTTTCAAGAATGTTCCCAAGTCGCTCTCTCTCTAGGGTTCGTCCCTTGGGTGTTTGGGAACCAAAAACCCAGCTCTCCCCTTTCCTTTGGCTGAAAATCGAGTTTTAAACAGAACTTCCCGATCACGCGGCCATGCCACACGGCCGTGTGGATTTCCCAGCTTCCCGTGTGAAGGCTCGGTGATTTCCACACGGCCACGACCCACACGGCCGTGTGGAGTTCCAGGATGCCCGTGTGGCTTGCTCAACCTCTGTTTAATGCTTCATTTCTCCCTCGCCCGGACTCTGAATCAGTCCCCGTTTGATCCCAGGCGCTCGTAGTCTCGTCCTCTTTCTTTTCATGACAAGATTGAATGATTCTTTGTCCATAAAGTGAGGTAGAAATCCATTCTTCTTCAGGTCATGCCCGAGTTTCTTCTCCCGAATCATCAATTGATCTCTGATTGATT